TATAGGTCAGGAACTCAGATCTACATGAAGAAAGGAAGAACATCAAAGGAGTAAATGAAGGTAAAATTAAATCTTTTATTTTCCTTATTCTTATTTTAACAGTTTGTTAAAAATAATAACAGCAACAAAACATTCAGTGACTATAGCTATAGATAAATTAATTGAATGACAGCAATATCATAAGAGATGGAGGGAGTAGTTGGGAATACTCTGTTGTAAGATATTTAAATTACCCGTACAGTGTTATTTGAAGGAGAACATGGATTAGTTGTAAATGTATATTGCCAACTCAAGGGCAAACACTAAAAAAAAAAAAAAGAAAGAAAGGAAGAAAAATTGTAAAAATAAATTGACATGCTGACAAGAAAAAAATGGAATAGTATAAAATGCTCAATTAAAACTAGAGAAGGCAGAAAAAGAGGAGAGGAAAGAAAAACAAAGAACATGGGCAACAAATAGAAAACAGGAAAAAAATATGGTATATATTAGCCCACCTACATCAATAATCACTCATTTACAATGAATGTGTATTACTTTTGTATTCAGAAAAGCTGTTCTCTCCTGCTCTCCCCACCCAGGAAATCCTTCTCTGATATCATTCACCTTCTGCCATGGCTGCCAGCAAGAAGGGGATGACAAAACCACAGGCAGGTTAACTATTCAGAATCTGTGACCAACAAGGGGTTCACTGAAATTTAAAGAACTTTGCAAAAAACAATGAAATACCATATGAACAACAGACTAACTGAATACACAGCTTATTCGAGATTAACCACTGTTAATTCTTTACCTGATAGCTTCTTAAAAACACTTCTAGCAATTTGCAGAACTCTTTCCTTAGAGATTTCTATTAGCCAACACTTGTTATATGGCCTTTTAATTGAGAAAACAAAACACCTTGATACCTTAGGGTTTTGTGTTTTCGATAATATTTTAGACATTAATCATTCCAGTCAAACACCACAGGAAAAATTTCAAGCCCCATTCCTACCCATCAGCAAAGGCCGAGTGAAAAGCCTAGACTTCTTTTCTCGCCCAGAAGTAACAAGGTACCCTTCCCCTCTGGTTGCGGGGGGTGAGGTCAGAGAAGGCTGAGTGAGATTGTCATGCCTGCCGGGCGTTATCAAGCCTCATCCTAACCCCACTGTCAGTGGAAAGTATGTGGGGTACCTGGACTTCCAACTCCACCTGCTCCACCTTTGTGCTGTGTTAGTATCAGAGGAGGCCTAGTGGAGAGTCAGGACTCTGACCACTGCCTGGCAGTAAGGAGCCCAACCATCTCCCCTTGGTGTCAGTGAAGGCCATGTGGGGAACAGTAACAAGGCAAACCTATCCTTCCTAACCAGGAGGGCTCCTGCTTAGCGAGGAGCCAGTACTCCTATCTCTGCCCAGCAGTAAGGAGGTTCTCCTACCCCCTGGGGTGTCAGTGGAGGCCGAGGAGGGAAACTGGACTTACACCTACATCTAGAAGTATTGAGACACTCCCCTTGTCTCACCAGTACAAAGCCAGAAGAAGCCTGATAAAACAGAAGACTTACATAAATTCGTCTCATAACACCCCAATGTCCAAGATTCAATTAAAAATCAACAGATTCCATTGAGATGACACTGATGTTAAAATCAGATCTGAAAAGGATTTTAAAGCAGCTATCATAAAAATGCTTCAATAAGCAATTACAAACATTCCGAAACAACTGGAAAAATAAGTCTCAGCGAAGAAAAAGAAGAACCAAACAGAAATTTTAGGATTGAAAAATACAATTAAAAAACCCAAGAGAAAGGAAAGCATATGTCCATACATATACTTATACACAAATGTTCATAGCAGTCTTATTCATAAGAGCCAAAATGTTGAAATGACCCAAATGTCTATCAACTGGAAGATGGATAAACAAAAGTGTGGTACATCCATACAATGGAATATTACTTGGTCAGAAAAAGGAATGAAGTACTGATATATGCTATCTGGATGAACCCTGAAAACATTAGGCTAACTGAAATGAGCTCGTCACAAAAGGCCACATATTATATGATTCAGCTTATCTTAAATATCCAGAATAGGCAAATACATATACAGAAAGTAGATTAGTGGTTGCCTAGTGCTGAAGGGTGTGAGGATGGGGAAATTAGGGGTGTGTGCTTGCTAATGGGTATGGAGTTTCTTGTGGGGCATAAGGATGACGTTCTAAAATTGATTATGGTGATAGTTGCACATTTCTGTGAATATACTAGAAACCAGTGAATTGTACACTTTGAACAAGAGAACTGCATGTGTTATGGGTTGAATTGTGTACCACATCAAAAAATAAATGTTGGAGTCCTAACCCCTAGTAGCTCAGAATGTGGCCCTATTTGGAGAAAGGGTCTTTAGAGGTGATCAAGTTAAAATGAGGTCATCAAGGTGGGCCCTAATCCAATATGACTAGTATCCTTATTATAAAGGGGAAATTTGAACACAGAGACAGACATGTATGGAGGGTGAAGATGTTCATCTACAAGCCAAAATGAGAAGCCTTGAACAGACTTCCCTCAAAGCCTGTACAAGAAGCCAACACTGCTGAACCTTGATTTCGGACTTGGTAGCCTCCAGATGGCGATAAAATACATTTCTGTTAAGTTTAAGTCATTCCCAGTTTGTGGAATTTACAGCAGCCCTAGCAAACTAAAACAGCATGTGAATTATACCTCAATCAAGTTGCTACCAAAAAACCAAAACAATATGCTGTCTACAAGAAACTCATTTCAAATATAATGACATAGGTTGAAAGTAAAAGCTATTCTAGATACTTGCAATAGTACGGTTAACGAAAGAAACAAAATCTTAGCCCTCATGGAACTTACATTCTAGTGGAGTAGATGAGTGTGCCAAACAGTGTGGGTCAGGTGGCTGGGGAAAGGCAGCTAACCAAGCAAGGTTTCATCTACATTTACATTTCCAGGACAGAGAGAAGAAAAAGAGTTCCTGAAGGAGACAGATAAAGAATTGTGTGGTCACAAAAATCAAGGAATGGAAGGGACTGGGTCAAACGCAAATGTTGAAGTTAGTAAAAGTCAAGTTCATGGAACTTGGCAATTATGTGCACATTTTGACATCAGCAAGAATCATTTCAGGAGTGTGATGGCAACTAAGATTCCATCATGTCAGCTACTTGCCAGCATGTTCAAAATATTCTTTCTTTCTTCTGTTGCACCCACTTGACAAAAACTCAACTCTGAATAGTCTTTACCAATGAGCAGTGTTGAAGAATAGTCCTCCAGACGGATGCCGCTGTAAGTCCATTGTGTCCAACTCACTGCTGTTCTTTTCTAGTCCATTCTTTCCCATTCTCTAGGACCACCATTTCAAACCATCTCTGTTGTCTTTGTACCTACCTCCATTCTCAGCCCCCCCCCCCCACTTCTGGAACTTGCCACATCACTTGGTTCTCAAAGATGTGAGAGCAAAACCATTAGGTGAAAACTTTAAACCCTCTGCTACCCAAATGACACACATGCCCATGTCCATGCCCATTCCTTCATCTGCCTGTGATATGGATGCCAGCTTCCCTCCTCAGGAACCTAGGTGTACCAATGATCTTGGCCAACTCCTCCTGCACCACTGCATTTTCACCTCCCCCCTCTCCTGATTCTACCCCTTTCCTAATTAGCATTTAAATGAGATGCAAGTTTCTCCTGCCTTCAAAAAAAAATCCCTCAACCACACGTAATTCTATTGCTACAGCCTCACCCTTCGTCACAGCCAATTTTTGAGTTATCTGCACTTGCTCACTTCATTACTCTGCAGTCCTCATCCCACTGCAACCTAGATTTACCCTCACCAATGCACTGAAAAAGGAAGATATAGATTACCATAATTCCTAAATTCTAATATGCATATTCATCCTCGCCCACATTTTAATAGACTACCTCTTATGATCAATATGATTGAAGGCAATGGGCCACAGTTTAGATTTTTCTTTGTATATGCAAAGATGCCTTAGAGTCAATCAAATATGGTGTTTCTGAAATTAAAATTTTTTTCTAAATGGGTACTCTTTTTTATATTGTATGAGATTTTTTTTCCTTTTTTTTTTTTTTTTTTGCGGTACGAGGGCCTCTCACTGTTGTGGCCTCTCCTGTTGCGGAGCACAGGCTCCGGACATGCAGGCTCAGTGGCCATGGCTCACGGGCCCAGTCACTCCGCGGCATGTGGGATCTTCCCGGACCGGGGCGCGAACCCGTGTCCCCTGCATCGGCAGGCGGACTCTCAACCACTGCGCCACCAGGGAAGCCCGTATGAGAGCTTTTAGCTTCACTAAACACCCTGGAATACATTCTTTTGGCCTCTGTGGTAGCTCAGCTGCTCCTTCTCAATCCCCTTCCTGTGTTCCTTGTCTAGTTCTCTTCCTTCCTCACTCATCAACTTCTTTGGATGAGCTCTTACACTACCATGGTTTCAGTACTACCCATATGTTATAGGACAAGCCTGTAGCTGGTCCAATGTCATGTGGGCATGACTTCAGAGACATCAAATTAACTGATTCTTGTTCCAGTTACAAAGTAGAGTCCAATAATGACTTAGGTGAAGTTGTTAGCCTTGAGAGACTAAAGATGATAAATTAGAATGTTTACACCTACAGTTGTATTGCATAACTCAGAGCAGTAGAGCTGACCCAGATGACTTGGTCCTTAGTACAAAATACAGAGGTTACATGCAGAATTTCTCCAGCCTTACATATACAGTAGGCTGAGTCTACGAGGGGTCACTTAGGCCTTCAGGTTTAATAAAACACCTACTCGCACATTATTGTCCCACTGTGCATTGCCCTACCAATCCCCCATTCCAGGCCCTTGCCCCTGAGATTTCAGAGTCTATTAGGTCAGTTTGCTGACTTCCTCTGAAATCCCCAGCATCTTTCATCCATCTGCCTCCTCGTTTCCCTCCCTTGTGAATGCCTGCTGCTCAGGTATCAAGTGATTTCCACAGTCAGCGTAAGTCAAATACAAAGGACGATCCACCATTTCTTCATTCACAAATATTTATTGAGCACCTACTATACGCCACACCATGTTAGGCTCTGGAATGCAAGTGAAATAAGATATCACCCCTGCCCTCATGGAGCTTACAATCTAGCAGGGGAAACAGACAATACACAGTAAACTAATACGTAAAATAAACACAGGTTGTGCTATCTGCCATATAGGATATAAACAGTGGTAAGATTAGAATAGTTAGGAAACACCTCCTTTATAGATAGAATGGTCAAGGAAGGCCTCTCTGAGAAGATAGTTAAAAACTGGGTATGAAGCCTGGCTCCCCACTTACGATCTACACGACCTTAGGCAAGTCACTTACCCTCTCAGAATCTGTTTCCACATTTGTAGAATGGAGATAATCATATCAAACTCAAGAAATGCTCATTACTGTGAATGATCATGAAAACTCTTCAATGACTTCTTGGTATTTTACAAGGCTTTTCATATCTTACATACTTCTCTTAATATTACTTAGCAAATTTCTAGCTATCCTCAACATTCTTAGTTCTCTCTTTATCTGTGTGCTCCTATAGCACCCTGTACCTTTTACCACTGCACTGTAATCTCCCTATTCACTTATCTGTATATTCTACTGGGTCTGAGGACATGCTGAAGGCTGTGATAATGAAGGAGTCTAAGTTGGACAAGAAGTACAAAGAAAACAAAGGGTTAAACAGTGGTAGGGAGTTTCAATGGAAGAAAATGTTGAAGGTGAGGTAACCAAAAATCTCACCGGCCAGGGCGTTGGATCATCCACCAGAACACTGAAGATACTGAGAATACGAAAGAATCGGAGATGGCAAAGTGTGCTGTGAGTTAGGAAGTGAGGCCTTCAGGAAATCAAAGGAGTGATCAGTGGCAAGAGTAGAGGTAACTGATAGTATAACTTCTTGGCATAGGCTGCAAAAGGGGCAGATTTTTGTCAGAAGCTTTGGGAGAAATTATTTAGAAATTACAAGAGAGAGGAAGGGCAGCAACCACCATCTCGAGATACATGGAATGTGGACACAGCCCACACTGGTGAGAGCTACAGGCTATGGCAGGCCTTCAGGTGACAGCCGAATTGGTTATGGCAAGGCAGTTAAGAGAAAAATCAAAAGAACGACATGCAGCCAAGCATGGATTAGGGAGGAGAGAGGGAGGGTAAGCAATTGGGAGTGACTAGAATACATATAGAAGGGAGACAAGTGAAGGTGAAAACGGAGGACAAGGGAAGTTTGCACTTAAGACTGCAGAACAGATAAGCTTCTTGGACATTCCCTTTCTGAAATCTCACCCTTCCCATCAAACTCACCACTGTCTCCCCTAAATGACTAACGTCCAGTCTAACTGCCTCCTGTCTCGTAATATCACCATTATCCTGGTTACCCAGGCTTGAGAAATGGACTCAGCCCTTACTCCTATAACCACTCAGACACTGAATCTTGAGTCTTCCTTTGAAATGGCTCCAGCATCCCCTCCTTCCTTATTCCTGTGGCCATCACCTGAAATCAGTTCTCATAATTTTATGTCTAAATTACCCTATCAGTCTCCCAAATAGCCTACCTAATTAGTGTCACTTCAGTTTAGTCAGAAGGCTTTGGAGGCACATCTGTTTCAGGCTGCCAAGTCCACTGCGAAATTTATGTTTCTTCCTTTGCAAAACAGAGACAATACTACTTTCCTTTGAAGGACCATGGTAAGGAATGTGACATTTTTGTAAGGTTCTTAGCATGTCTGTTAGTAGGAAGAATTCCTGAGCTTTGAAAACTTGATTATAACCCTTTTGAAGTATGGGACCAGAACTTTTATACTACTCTACCCCACATACACTTACAAAACACGTTGAATATTTGTTGAATAGTTTGATGAAGGCCAAAATAAGAGGGATATTTTACAACACAACAACACTCTTCTTCACATAAAAAGAGGTGAGCTTTGAGAACACAAAAGCAGCCTTCAAATCCATTCAAAAAGAAAAAGCAGCCTGGGAAATGTGGTATGCCAATCAAGAAAATAATACCTTGAGCATCCGAAGATAGCAATCTGTTTTTCTTTCCCCAGAGCGGCCCTGAGAACACCAATATGGGACTGAAAACACAAAAAGACAAAGTGAAAAAGCAAAGCTTAGCTCTGCTTTTGTTGTTGTTTCAGCCTTACCACTCTTCCAGTTTGGTTTGGACTGCCTCTGGCTCAGAAGATCCTACTGGCTTTGGGGAGCTCAGAAAGGCCAAAATGGAGCCTACAGGAAGAGGAAAAAAAAGAGAGCTGGCTACCAAGGGCTGGCCCCAGGCACAAAAGATTTAAGAAAAGGCAAGATTTTCTAACTAAAAACAGAAAATGTAGTGTAACAATGGGCTACTTCATAGTGCAAGTAAAACTATGTAGAAAATCATTTGGATATCCTTATGTAGGTGTTTCTGGAACATATCAGATACATATATTTGAAACTGAGACATCCCAGGAAAGTCTCTGCCCATTTTCTCCAAATCAGTTTCCCCAGCTCACCAAGGTCAGAAGGTGGAGGGTCTTAATGCAGATGTCTGCACAGAGCTAAATAGCACATATTCTTGGAAACTATGGTTAGACAGTTCTTCTCATACCAAATGGTTACAGTATAACTTAGTAAAACCACTTGGAAAAATGACAGGAATCAAAAACTACAAAGTATTTACATCCTTGACTCAGGAATTCACCTCTAGGAATTTATTCTAAGGAAATCATTTATGCACAAAGACATGAACTGTAACACTGCATCATGAGATGCAACCTAAAATGTCCAACAGGGAAAGGTAACAGGAAGCATGGCACATCCACACAGAATAGTTTTTAATGACATGGAATAATGCCTGCAGATTGAGAAAAAAATCAAGGCACAAATTATACCGAGAATGAATGAAACTATGTAAAATCGCAGACAAGTAGCTAAAAGACTGGCAAGAAATATGCAAAAATAGTAAAGTGCCCTTTTCCCCTTTTCTGTATTGTCTAGATTTCCCGCAATAAGCATGTATTACTAAACATAAACAGGAAAAAACCATTATTGAGTCAGGCAAGCATTAAAGAATGGGCATTTATATTTAGCCTAATCTGTTTCTCCTAGGAATTGGAGCGTGGTTCTTAACAACAAAAAAGCGGGGGCTTACAAACCAGTCATTCTTAAAAAAGCAGAGGAAGTATTAAATTCTTTCCACAAGTTTCACCATATTCGTGTAGAACTGCAGCAGAAAAGATGGTGAATCAGGTTCAGACATCAATCACCAACCTAAATGACAACTCCATGCTCCCACAAGACACAGATCCACGGTCACAAAATACAATGTCAGACCCAAGTTTAAATGGCATACTGCTCTACATTTTCCAAGATGAAAAAGATTAGGAAAATAAAAGCATTTACTTGGGGGTGGGGGAGAGACTTTTTTTTTTTTTTACACCCATTGGGGGCTAGAGAGAAATGAAAGACAAAGCTGAGAACTAATGCTTTATAAAATTCAACTTTACTTAAAAAGACAAACTGTAACAATAAATACTTTTTTGGCAGAAGAAAAGCAGACAACTCAGTTACTAAATGACGGATGTCCAAGACTCGTCTGAAGGCAGAATGGTTCAAAGGTCAGAATCCAAAGTCAGAATAGTCTCTGTTGAATATCATTCATCTAAAATCCAACATCTTACCTTTCTTCAAATTCTTTAAGTGTCTACCCTAGGGCAACTTGTTTTATACCAAGAATTATGGATCTCCTTATTTATACTCACACTCTTTCACCAAATCATGATCCTTTTCATTCTAGCTTTCCTGATTCTACTGTTTTGTTTGGCCTTTATAATTATTCCATGACAGATGCAAAGAATTTATACCTTCTGGGCAGAAATGGAAACAGAATCCTAAAGCGGCTCACCTAAGGGTCAGAAAGTCAGTGAAGTAAGCAGACCTTAGGTGTGAAGCTACATTCAGCACCCATTACATTGTCACGAGTTACCAAAGCAAGGAAATCCTTTAACATTTCTATGTGAATAACGATAAAAATACAGGTTGGCTAAGTGTTTGTAAGAGACTAATAACTGCAGTTCCTTTCCTTAAACATAGTCACTGGTTGGCTGACATCTAAGTAACAGCTATAGATGACCTCCTCTGAGACTGAATTATACTTGGTTGAGCAGACATCTGGACTAGTAAAAGAAACTGCTACAAAATCAGAGCCTCAGTAAAAAATATTTAGTGACCATTCTAAAAAAAGGACAGTGGCTTAATAAGCATGTTGTTGTCACAGGGCCAAATAAAGAAAAGTACTCACCTTCAAATATACATACACAAAAGTCTCAATTTTAAGATTATAAACTTAAAAGTATATTTTAAAAAATGTTAGTCGCCTGTATGAGATAAATTAAAAATTTATGTAATTCAGTGTAAAGCACCAAAAATGAACAATAAAACTGTTCACATAAAACAGTGAAAAGGAAACAAAGCACAACTATAAAAGCACAGAGGTATCATTTACAAGAACCAAGTAAATAAACTAATTTCTATTAATTTTTTTCATTTACCTGATAAAACTGTTGGTTAAACTGGGGAGGGGAGGGTCTCTGAGCATCTAAAGGGTAACAAAATGGTAACAAATATACAGCATTTCTTTATTAACAAATTATACCACACAAATCAGGTTATTTTTTCTATCTGATTACAGAGTTAACAGAACTTGCATCCATATGTAGAGCAGCAACATAAAATTTTACTAGGAAAAAATTCTGTATCTGGACCAAAGGACTGTAACGTGGACGAAGAAGGTAAAACTGGCAACTATGATGCAACTACTGCAAGAAGATTCAGGTTCGTTTTCCATGCTTATAACTCTCCAAAAGGGATAATACATTAGGGGATAATGCAGCCAAAGAAGGGATGATGTAGAAAATCACATGAAATTAAATGAGTACAAAAAGAGCACAGGGGCGGGGGGGTGCGGCATGAGAACTTGAGAAGGTGTGAAAAACCAAGCAGTGACAAGTCAGCTCCCTGGAGTTACACCAACCCAGATTGTTCCCTATCCTAACTGAAATTGGTGGACTCTTCATCTGGGCACTTCAGCTTGAGAAATCAGTTGGATTAATCATTTTTAACACAGGTTTATTTTTAAAGTAGATACAACTTAAGGAGAGAAAGCTAAATATTAGGGAAGTATTAAGTCCTTCAGAACTCAAAATTCTGCAGCCAAATGAAAGCAAAGGAAAGTATAAAATCTGGATAAAAATGTTTCTCTAAGGGCAAAACAGTTTTCTGAGAGATTTTAAAACCAAACACACAGTAAGAGAGTGGTTTTCAAAGTGGGTTTCAGGCCCATCCTCTCCTCTTCAAACCTTTCTTATATTCAAACATTTCTAATTCTGTTTTGTCTTTTGTGGCTTCAGGAAAGACTTCCTTTTAAAAAAAGGAAAGGGAAATCTGATGCCATCCCCATCCCCTTGCTACTGTTTGTTCTTTAAGTTTGAAAATCACTGCTATGAGAAAAATGAGATCTAAAACATATTTTCTTTGTGTTACTAAACTGAAAAGTTTCAACACAGATCTGTACATTATCCTGTAAAATAAACGAGCAAAAGAAGTTCTTAGGAAGAAATTAAACTTTGCTATTCCCACCGCCCCTAAATCTGTTCTTCCACTGCCTCCAACCTCTCAATATTTCTAGACAGTGTGAACAAAATTCTAACAAACATTCCAGCCCACACCTTAATCTAAAAACATTTCATTTGATGGCTGCAGAGAATTTTTTTTTGAGAAGGTAAGCCCCCAATTTATAGAAACCTCTAGAATAAGAATGTACGATTACCAAAATAACACACATTATATCAGGGAAGACTCTGCACAGGGTTTCTTCAACATAATCACTAATAATAAAGAAAAGCCAAATCCCAGAACGTCACTCTGCATTCATCAGCACACAACACCAAAGTGTAAACAACAACCAGGGGAAAATGCTTAACACAAAGGCCATTTTTCTTTGATGGAATCAGGGAGAAAAGTGGAACTGCAGGAAGAAAAGTGGAACCCAAGCTTTGGCCACTTATCAAGACTTCATTACTTCAACGAAACAGAACAAATCTCCATGGAAAGGGCTCATTCAGCAAACGTAACTTCTTTCCATATATTTTTCCTTCACATCAGATTAAACAAAACTTGTCATTTCAGAATCACTGATTACATCTTTTTTTAATTAGAAAAAAGTTTACTTGAATATTTACATAACTTTATTGCTGTTTATTACAACAAAAAAATTTTTAACTGATTTGTAGAATCCAACCAGTATCATATGAAATTGAAATCCATCTCTCAAGAAGATGCAGTTACAGCTGAATGTATCTGATGCTCAGAGTACAGCATGAATAAGAAAAATCCTTGCATGTCATGTGGTTCTTGCTGCAGTCATCTGTGTTCATCTCTCAGAAGGCAAAAGAATCCATTTGACACTTCAATAAATATCAAAGTAATCGTTACCAAAAAAATAGCTTCCACGGACCAGAGATCCAAGAAACAGCAGTTTTAATGAATGATTCCTAGAATCGAGTGAGTCCTCCTTTAGTCCAATGAGATGATGTCAGGAATGTTACTTCCACTGCTGGTTATGACCCCTGTCTCACTCCTGCTGCTGGATGAACTAACATGAGTACTGCTTTCATGGGGGCTGGTGGTGGTGACAGACGTACTGCTTGCTGTTAAGGGTGAGGTGAGACTATCCAAAAACATAGGAGGACAGTACTGCTTGAAACAAACAATGATGTCGATGAGGAAGAGGCTACATTGATTTTAAATATAGAGACTAGAAATTGTTAGATATGCACAAGTGATAGCCACATATTTAAATCTCAGTGGGACTTAAAAACTTCTCAAAACTTCACATCTTTGGATGGAAGGTTGGCATGAATTTTAACATTTTACATTATTTTGTGAGTGCAGCATATTCCTGATTGTCTCAAAACTCACAGAATTTGTGACCAAATATGTAGTAGTACAAAAATGTCAACAATAACTAAAGTTATTTAATACTAAATATTGGCCCCAAAATTATGACTCATACTTAATCTCAAAAAGAATTTGCTCACTAAATGTGTTTATACCAGATTTAAAACACACTGTAAAAGGCTAATAAACTTATTTTTAATGGTGTTAAGAAAAATGCTAATGCAAAATTCAATAATTCTCTCAAAATTTAGTATAAATCAGACCCTTAAGGAATAATGTTAAGACTGATCAGCGGCAAGGCAGCATCTGACTCCTTTGTACATACACGTAACAGAACCTGTGTAATTAGAAGATAGCATACATTCTAATATAGAGACTACATGGTAGCTAACTACCACGGGATGCTCAGAAAGAGAGTTATCTCAGGTACTCACAAAATTTTGGAATAAATCTTAAAGGAAATCTAATCTAATCTAATTTCCTTTGAGATGCTTGCTTGACACCCCCTTCCAACTGTTCAAATTTCTGGTTTCTTTAACATCTTAGTTGCTGATTCCCAAACTAATTCCGACCTGAGTTTAGTACTCTAATATTGACCTGGAGGAACAGAGAGAGACAATAGCTAAAAGCTTTGTATCACCATAGAATATTTTATGTGAGAGACAACTGCACTGACTTGAGTGAGATAAGCGAGGTCCAGTATACATTACAAGAGAAGAGGTCCTAAGTCTGTGTTTAGATTGACTGTATGAAAGAAAATCAGTAAGGATATCTGATCAATATTATCAATTCTATATATTATTCAGCCTATCATTAGAGATATTAAAAACAGAAATTTAAAACTGAAGTTGTTTAGACTACATGATCTTCAAAAAGACCATAAAATGGGAACAACGGCCCCAGGTTTAAGGCTGCCAGTCAGTGGAAGGGCAACAATTAAAATTCAGGGTGCCTTTTAAAAAAGTAACTTAATGTTTAGGATGGACAATTGTCTTGGTTCATCAACAAAATGAATGCCAGGCACAAAGACTGAAAGGGGAGTTCTTAAAGAGCTTCTAAGAACCTCTAAAGAGAGTTGCATTGTCAGGTATTAAACTTCTTTAAAATCAATTTCTAATTTTCCACTAAAATTGAGCCAAGAATCTGGAAAAAGCCCAGAAAGTTAGCATTTTATTTCTACTACCTCTGAGGGAGTTTTTGACCACCGAGGAGTAAAAAGGTACCCTTCTTCATTTGTATAATGAATGCTAGATACTACAGTCTGCTGTCAATAGCCTCTACATCTCGAAATCTTACAATACTCAGGTTGCAGCCAATCTAACTCTGTAGCCTTTATGTGTAATTTGAACACATCTGCATAAGGATAACAGGGATTAAGGGGGCAATGTGGAGGTAAAGTAGAACAAATCTAAGGATTCAAGGAAAACTGAAAGCACAACCTCACCCTTCATTTAGCTTAGCAACAAGTTAGCCTGACACCAAGCACGCTAAATGGCCCTATAAAATCAAAATCCTCTAGGTTAAAAGATCATTTTTTAAAAAAGGATGATTCACATTAAAAACAGTAATACTTTAAGCCTGAAGAATCTATTTCCTTAAAAAACAGATAGATATTTTGCTACAGAATCTACTGCTGTAACAAAGTCAACTCAGAGTGAGAAGAAACTCCTCATTCTGTGCCTGTTACCTTGGGCCCAAATTTCCAGTGCTGTTTATGTGATCAAATACAGAGTACTGAGCCAGGAAGCTGATACAAGACCTGTGGTTAGCTGATTCTGAGCAGCCTACAAAGCAGTGGTGGCATGGCTCGTCCTCTATCCCTCCCTACTCTCAACACTTCTCTCAAAGTCTCTTCCTCTGTTTTGCTTTTCCCTTCAGCTTTTCCCATGCCTTTTCCTCCTCTGCTCTGCCTCTGCTATAAGCCTTATCAGTGGAGTCCACAGTCATTGCAAGGTCTTCATGTTGGGACGCTGGGATACTAGAGTTTCTTATCTCTGACAAAGAAAACAGGAATGACTGGTTTATAGCAATTTTAGATTAGGGCATCTCCAAAGTCTGAATCTGATTGCCTTTAAAAACAAGGAAGAATCAAGCTAATGATTCAGTCTGTTTAATCAGCATCAGCTATTTTCTATGTATAGAGCAAGTGTTTTACAACTTATCTCTATAAGGTTTTAACTTCCAGTCATTGAGCACTGCTTCGCCTCATTTTAATCACTCAAATGCTCGTAAGAAATGCCAACTGATTATATTAAACTAAATAAAATATAATTTAAACTTCCAGCATTAAAGGCCAAAATATCATAAACTGAGAACTAGCAACTTCATCCCTCCAAGTAAAATTGTGAAATATTTATATAGTACTTCCTTTCCATCAATTTAAGTAACTGAGAGTTGACTGTCCTGATTTTATGCAACTGGTCATTTTTAGTTAGTATGACACAACCAACAATCAAATACAAATTAGTTGCTTAAATTCAGGATACATACCTGGGGATCAACTGGAATAAGGGAAAGAAAATCCAAACCTAAAACAAAAATGTTCTGTTAATAGTTGTCTCATATGTTGGAGACAAGAATTATTTCCCTAAATCATTTTTTATTTATCTTAAGTCATAAAACATTTGGGTTAAGGTCTTACCATTCTGCCATAGGGAAGGTCTATACCACAATCAGGGTATTATGTGGATAAAACCCAAAAATGGACATATTTCCTAACAAAACAACTAGAAAAACCACCTCCCAGAGACTTAAAGGGGGCAGTCCAAAATTTTTCAGATAAATAGGACTAGTCAAAGCAAACTTTCCCCCTTTATCACTTAGCAGAATGAGAAGCAATAAAATGAAAAGATGACGATCTGGATTCGGACCATTAAAAAAACATACTTAAGACTCTTAAGGTACTTCACATTTATTTTTTAGAAATACACCACACTGAGCTTCATCTAAAATATCACTTCTTAGGCAGATAAATGTCTATTTCACGGACAGCTCTCTGTTCCCCGGTTCCCACAACAAGAGTAGCAGTACACAGTTCAACGTGCTGCACAAAGCAAGCACCTGCTAACTGCTGCTCACTAACAAGCTAAATCTTACCAAGGTTTGCTGGGTTATAAACTAATGCAGTTTTCTAAACCAAAGCTTTGGGATTCTCCAGTTATGCTTTTGAAACAGAACTGTGGTAAAACGTTGCCCAGTAATACCATTTTGAAATATTAAAGTTATAACAATAAATAATAAAATATTTCAGGTCTGAAAAATCTAGCAATAAACTTCAAGGTCAGTCCCCATAGACCTCTGTTTGACTAAATTTCAAAACATTAAAAAAAATAAAAATCACATATTAGGTGCACGTTACTAAGACGGGCCAATTTCTATCCATTCTGTGAATTTTTATATGCTGGTATTCAATGTCACCTCAAGTATAATAATCATACAGAGTGTACTCTAATACTAGACTGTTACTCTAAAGAGAGAATATTAGCAGGAAATATTTAAAATATTTAATAACCAGTATGAAAAATTCATAAATCAAAATGTTAAAGTATATTTATTCCCTGATAATCTCTAAATAAGGGTATGATAAAAATACTTATCAAGTAATACAAGCTGTAGCACCAATCATTTGAAAGAAGTCATTTAATTTCTAAAGCATTTTTGAAAACTGCTGATATTTTTCATTTCATATGCCTATCACTAGCTATATGATACAGCAAGGTTTGAGCCAACACTGGAATCACAACAAACTTTTCCAAGGAGCTCCCCATTAAATTGATACTAAGTAGGTGACATCTCTCAATAAGCGAAGAGTTTCTCTTCACACTAATGATACTGTCCAGTAAATCCTCTCTCTGCTTCAGCTGAACAGTAATTCACAATTTGTCTAGCCCTTATAACACCTTCTGAGAGTTTTATACAGTCAACATTTCTATTATGGACTACGTCACAAAAAGAGTTTATTTGCATATCATTTTATTGGCTTAATTGTATTAATTTTGTTTTGCTTCAAATGGTATATAACATTATTTATATAACTTCTGCTTTTAAAAGCTTATTTAATTTCAAATATTCACTCACTTTTAATGTTTGTTGAATAACTCAGTCCATTTGAATAACAAAATTTCTTTATAAAGCTACAGAAAGTATTGCTATTTCTGTTGGGATATTGTGTATTGAAGCCAAATCACTCAAAATGCTCATTTTCTAAAGTTTATTCCCATTTTGTAACTTCAGTTTAAATAAATACACAGGCTTGATATAATTTTCAAGCTGTTTTTGTAGTTCTAGCACTGGAGACTGCCCATCGAGGAGGTGCCAAGTGTCTCCATATTTTCATTATTTCAATTCCCATCTCTTCAGATGTACTGCAATTCTCTTTGATGATTATTTCATGTGTGTTAGTAGATATATAGTCTACTGATAAAACATTTTAAGAGATTTGTTTGATCTATATCTTTTGACACCTCATCCAGGGATAACTGAATATGGTAACTTATACAATGCCATAATAAAATGTCTAGAAATTTTTTTGAAATTTTGGTTGAAACCCATTGTCTCCCTAGCATTACACAGATGCTGTATACACAAAATTCAATCATGTTTTTAATGTAAATATTTCTCACTGAAACCATTTTTCTCAAACAGTAACAATGAAGTTCGATATAGTATTTCAGATGTTATTCCTCCTATTAAAAGAAGATTTACCAACAATGTCTTGCATTTCTACTTTGTAAGTACAGACTATTAAAACCCTTACATGAAATAGATGACGTTTCACGAACAGTGATCAAATGTTATTGCCTTATTTTCTAAGTTTAGTAAAATGCTGTTTTCTTATTTCACCGTAAGTTTGAACTGCAATGATATGTGGTACTGACGTATTTTTAGGCCCTCCTAAGTATTCCACAGTTGAAAATGCTCATCTTTAACTAAAAAGCAGGTAGTGTTAAAAATTCTGATGGTACATTCTAAATGCTTTTGTCAATACTGATAAAATTATCGTCTTAGATTTTAAATGCTTCTTCATGTGAAACTGACTCTGTATGTCTTATTAATAACAACACATTCTCCTTACTTGAGCCATGAACTTTAACAGAACATAACTCCTACATGATTAAATATGTAAATGTTTAGCACTTTCAAATTTTAATGATACAACTTTTGAGCACTATTCCCACCTGACAAATATGGCACTACCAATAATAAGGCAGTCATATTTTTTCATGAAATAATCAAGCTGTTTTCCATTCCATAAATACAAATTATGTTTTATTTTGCATTCACTGTTGCACAGTATCAGAAGATGTTCCAAGCTGCAGTTCATTATTAATATCATTTCTTCTTTGTTCTCCTGCAGATTCAGAAGATTCATGTTTATGATGTTTAAAAGGAATGTTAAGAAATGTATTAAAAGTTTGTCATCCCTCCATTCTTGGTGTTCTATTTAATATTTTATTATAAATTATTAAACTTATAAATATCAAAACTCTGTACAGTATGACTAATTACATAAAAATTATGCACAAAAAATCCCCAAAGTAATTACTAATTACAAAAGAGCATATTAACAGTAAAACCAAAGTAAAAACTAAACTACTTAGATGTAGTAACTGCTACATAATTCATAGATGACGGTAAACTGGTAACTCTTCTGAAGTACAACAGTTCCTATTCTATTCTGTTTATCAACTGATAAGAAAGCCTTTCAACATTTTAATAATCAGTATCACTATACTGGCTAAATATCAGCCCTGGATATTAGTCTTAGTTCCTTAATGTCAGCTTGAAATGCATTTTATGAAATACACAGTTAACATATTTTACTGTTTTTCTCAAATCTGTACATTTTATAAAGTAAATAGGCTGACTTTATGCCCAAATTTGGAAATAATATAAATTCCCTGTAATTAAAAATTCATCCAAACTCACATAACTCAAAAACTAACAGGGCAAGTGATTTGTACATTGTACCTATTCTATCGCTAAATGGCCAGAGTCACTCAGTAAAAACAGAGAACGTTCATTATCTTTTTTCAGGATTTTTAATTCAAGATCTTTAGGAAACAAATCCTTCTGGAATGCTTGCTTGTAAGATGACATGTGGACACTCTTCAACTTCATTTGAAACTAGCCACAGTTAAAGCAAAACATGGCAGTAAGGAATTAAGACTCTCTGACTTTCCATCTTTCTTAGGACCATGAAACCTCACCTGTAACTCAGCATCAAGCTTTGTATCAACAAATACTCTATAATTGGTGCTAGCTGGGTTTACAAACAATTTTTTAAAATACCAATTCCCAAAGTACATGTGGAGTAAACACATTTAAGAAGCAAAAGGTACCTAACATTTTTTTTGATGGATACTATTTTTAGTCTACTCTTTTCCATTAAATTTTATTCAAACTGAATAAATGCTGAACAAATTTCAAGTCGCAAAATTACAACGGGGCAGAGTACACAACTATCAACTTTTTCAACAACACAAACTTTGCCCAACAGAATACACATTGTGCTTAAAATAAAGACCTTACTAAGAGGGGCAAGAAGAATAAATCATAGGTCAAAATTAATTTCCTAAATCCAGAAAATTAAGAGGAGGAGGTGACTGTATTCCACTAAAAGGGCCCTTCAAAGAGAAGGGAAGTCATGAATTTAAGAGTCACTGGTACTAACTTGCTCAAATTTGATCGACCAAAAAATGTCTGCAAAAACAATGGCTATGTAGGGAGAGAAAAAGAGGGAGGGACGAAAAAGCTTTAATTTTATAGTATGGCCTTGGTTGCATACGTCTTGGTACTAAGGTAATTCAAGCAGCCTTGAAGCTTTTAACTGTTGAGTTAACATACATATAAAAGATATCCCTCAATATTAAGCAGAGCTCTAGGGAAACAGCAGGTAGATCCTATTTTTACAGGGTAAAGCTGGTAGGCAACACTGACCTCACAGTACGCCAGTATATTCTGAAGTTGTGATGGGATACCAAGAAGTGATGGGCTACTAAAAAAAGTATGAGAAAACATTCTCCCTAACCTGTGAAGCTTCCATGATAAACGAAGAAAGAGTCTCCCAGTATAAATTCTCTATGAGGAAGAATAAATTCTGTAAAATTTTCCTACTGTATTTCCTCTCATCAAAATCTACAGATTGCTCTATAGTTAAAATGATAGGAACTGAATGTGATATATTTAAAACAGATACTACCTTTACAGGGAAGCCTTTCCTTAGCAATTTCCTTAGCATTTCTATTTAAGATATTTAAATTATATTTGCTCCACAGATTAAGATAAAAAGAAATGGTAAAACTTGATAAAAAAAACAAAACACCTCTTCACATACCTGGCAAATCTGATGACATGCTTGATATTGGCGTGTGGTGGAATGGTACTGAGTAGTCTGTTAATGAAGGCGGAATAGCAGCAGGATCAACCGAAGTCACACTGGGCACCCTTACAGAAGATGGCTGATACATGAGAACCCTGTTTTAAATAGCACGGGAAATTACAAACAATCTGGCTGTTAGTTCACAGGAGAGAAGGGCTGTACCACTGGGCATTGTCAGTCGTTAAGTTCACTAAGTTTCCAAACAACTATACGGCAGCTACTCACTACACAGTACTCCACTCACTCTCCTCTTTCATAACAGTCTCTTCACTTTAACATGAACACATGTTGGCTCTCAACAGCAGTTGTGACATAAGAGCAAGGTGGGGCTTCCCTGGTGGCGCAGTGGTTGAGAGTCCGCCTGCCGATGCAGGGGACACGGGTTCGTGCCCCGGTCCGGGAAGATCCCACATGCCGCGGAGCGGCTGGGCCCGTGAGCCATGGCCGCTGAGCCTGCGCTCCGCAACGGGAGAGGCCACAGCAGTCAGAGGCATACCGCAAAAAAAAAAAAAAAAAAAAAAAAGAAGAAGGTGGCAATAAAACAAAAAGGAAAATGCAGGAGCAATAAAAACTTTGATCCACAAACAGGAATACACTCTACATAATGATTTTATTAATGTATATGTAACATGTATGTGAATATTAGTAATTTTATATATAAAGAAATTCAGAAATAAAATAGAAGACTCCTAAGATTTGATTAAAATCAGAGTACCTTTATGAGTGAAGCTACTTACTATAGCTCAAGCATGATTTCTTCCATTCTAACGTGAACTGTATTAATTATTAGCGATCTTATCTGGGAATCACCCAAGCAAAGATAGCCAGTCCTAAAGCCAGCCAGCCTGATAACAACAGGCAGCAATCAGAACTTAGAATAAGACAACTACCCAGGATTTCAGACATAATATCCAGAAATAAAAACACTGGCTACCATGATACCATCTACTCTTCTAAGAGGGCTTACGACTTTGAAATTCGCTGTTCATGCTATGAAAAACACAAATTAAATACACTTAAGATATAGTTTATTACTGGTATTTATACATGTACGTATACACACTATATATATAAAATAATAACTTTATAATTTTAAGAAGCAGTATAGTTAAACATATTTTTGAAAAAGTTCAGGAAAAAAGAGAGATGATTTTGCATTCTTCCTACTTAACCTTCATTTTATCTTAGTCCAGGGTAAACAATTAGAAGTTCTCAAGAAAACATCTTGAACATATACAAGAAACTAAGCAATGTTCCTGACCCTCTGGCTGATGGTGGCCACCTTTTTGTCCAGCATCTTAGTGAGGCTGCAGTGGTAGCACCTGCTCTCCGAGCTCTGCGATGCCACACAAGGATGACAAGAAAAAGACAGATGCTGGAAAGTCAGCCAAGAAAGACAAAGACCAAAGGCAAAATGTGGGACAAGCTCAATAACCTAGTCTTGTTTGACAAAGCCACATAAGACAAACTCTGTAAGGAAGTTCCTGACTATAAGCTTAAAACCCCAGCTGTTGTCTCTGAGAGACTGAAGATTCACAGTTCCCTGGCCAGGGCAGCCCTTCAGGAGCTGCTCAGTAAAGGACCCATTAAACCAGTTTCAAAGCACAGAGTTCAAATAATTTATACCAGGAACACCAAAGGTGGAGATGCCCCAGCTGCCAGTAAAGATGCATAAACAGGTCCCACCACTGTACATTTTGAAAAGCAAAACTTTACTAAACTGAAAAAAAAAAAAAGGAGGGTGGGGGACGGGGACAGAGGGACATTAGGTCATTAGGACATTAAGGTCAGCATTCCAAAGCGCTGCCAGTAAACTACCGTGAGCTTAATAAGAGAGGCACAGAGCTCTGTAGCTGGAAGGGACCACTACAAAGATGAAGCACAACTGACAGAAACAGTACAACCATCAAAGTTAGACTGAGATGACAAGTAGGACCTCTAGGCGTCCTTTCCCTTGGTTGAAACTTCCTGTTATTGCTCAGATTATTAAATACTAGTAATAAGAAATGATGACATATTTGCATGACATTCTTCATACTCTAAACAACTGACAAAACTATTTCATAACCTCAATTAAAAATCTCAAACCACTTAAATAATCACCACCTATTTAAACACTGGAGTCCCTCTAAAACCAGTTTCCATTATAACATGAGGCTCTTGTCTAGCTGTTATTCTGTACTATTTGTCAAAAATACAGATGTTGCTGGAAAGGAGGAAAATGAAGTCATCTTGAGAGGACACACATGGCTGTGCTGGCAACTGCTAGTCTCAGAAAAGCAAATAAATAACATAGGTCAGAGTTCAGGAATCTTAAACTGATCCATTTGGGAGGCAAAGGAAATATAACATGCTTGAGATGGTAACATAAGCCTCATATTTCAAAACACATTTTCCAGATGTAGATGAAGATGGACAAAAAGAGCAACCTGCCTCGGTTAGAATCAGAAGGTTTCTTGGCCTCCAGTGTTACCTGTCAACCTAAAACCACAAAGGTAGACTCCAGAGGGGGAAAGAGAAAACCTGAGACGAGCTCAAGTACGTATGTTATATTAAAGCACATCTTTTTCTGGAGGTTTGAAGACACTGGTCCTCTACAAGGATGAAAGTAGAACAAAAAATCACCAAAAGTGTTTTCAAATTACAAATGATCCTACCTCCCACACAGGAATGTGTATCAGAAATTGGGGGATGGGGGATGGGGATAAGAAGGAAAAAGACAGGGACTTCCCTGGTGGCACAGTGGTTAAGAATCCGCCTGCCAATGCAGAGGACACGGGTTCGAGCCCTGGTCCGGGAAGATCCCACATGCTGTGGAGCAACTAAGCTCATGCACCACAACTACTGAGCCTGCGCTCTAGAGCCCGTGAGCCACAACTACCGAAGCCCGCGTGCCTAGAGCCCATACTCCGCAACAAAAGAAGCCATCACAATGAGAAGCCCTCGTACCACAACGAAGAGTAACCCCCGCTCACCGCAACTAGAGAACGCCTGCGTGCAGCAATCAACACCCAACACAGCCATAAATGAATGAATGAATGAATGAATGGAGACACTGGTATATGTTAGTACTAAGGAGGGGGTTTAAAAAGTGGCTCTGATTATTATGGTTGTTTCACAGTATTAATATCTTAATCATATATATATTTTTTAAGATGCAAGCTTTTGAAGAAGAACTATATGTGTGTGTGTGTTTGTATACATATATATGTATGTGTGTGCATATATATATACACACATACAATATACACACATACATATGATTTCATTTATTTTAAAAAGTTCCTACTTAAAGGTACATTTAATCTGTCACTTTTTCTCTGACACTGAAAGAAATGAAAAGAAAAATTTCAAGTTTACAAGAAAAAGACAATGGCTGCCTTCCTCTTGCTCCCTCTTCTTGTCCTTTGATGTCTCACACTGGAGATTGTCTTTTGTCTTGATCCTGAACTGACCTTTCAACCTGGATCAGATTTATAGAAAACAACAATAAAACTCATTGTCCTACCCTGGCCCCTTTATTTCCATCTGTAGAGGAGTAAGGTCAATGTCCCAAGGCACATGTCACCACAGTAACTCTTTTTTTTTTTTAATTCTTTTTTTAACCACAGTAACTCTTAGCCACTGCATATCTTCTGTTCTCATAACATGAAACTTTGAGTGATTAAACAACTATTCCTTGTTTCTCCAATACAAAACGCTGTCACAACACATGAAAATGTCACAATCCACTGACAGTACAAATTATTAAATCAATATCTAAAATCTCAGCAAACATCAAACTATTTAGCGTAGGTTAATTCCTATTACCTGAACTTTGTAACCATTAATACAAATTCAACTTTATATAGAATGGGTGAAATTCGTCATTTGTTAGGATTATCAAATTACCTACTGGTAGAAAGATTTTTGTTTTAATCAGAATCTTCACAAAGACCACATTCAGAAAGGTAAATGATTCTGATGCCTATGCAAAAAAAGATGTATTTATAGATACGGAATAACAGGAACCATGGAGAAATGTAAATGGCTATGTCTGGTGGAATTGTGGGTATGTGATGCTATAAAATAATAAAAACATTTTTTAAAACTTTTAATATTTGTTACTCCCTCCTCACAGGATTGGCAAATACACACACAGGCTTTATGTGTACAATATGTATGTGTACATATATAAATTTTTATAGCTGTATCCATAGTATCACAGCACAAAGGTAAACTGCTGGCATGCTGCTAGACAGCAAACATTAGTATTCTAGACTGTGTACTAGATCACTGAATTCATCATACTTGGCCCCAGCTTACATGTCTGAAAATTCAGTAACTTGAATTTTTATCCATAAACCTGAAATTCACTGGGTGCTCCCACTTTATGATCATAAAAATATTTTAAAAGATTCAATTTTGCTAATGATTCTTAATCTATTTCTAATCTTTGTTTCCTGTCTTTAGAACACCTCCTCATTAATGACAAAACAGTCATTGAATTTCCCAGCCATGGGGTAGGGACATAATATTTAAAATTATCTTTTAATTTAGAAAAATAGCAGAGGTTTCCTAAAAGTCTTAGATTAAGGTGCCAATTTCTTCTGAAAGGCTATGCAGGGAAAGAGGCTAGAAGAATTACCATCAAAGTGTTAACAGAATGCTTTTTATTTCTTGATGCTTTGAAAAATTGTTTATAAGAATAATTTTTTTCAAAAACAATACCTCTTAAAAAATAACTGCTCACCTGAATTTTAGACTGTAACTTAAAGTAAGTTTTCCTGTTTTTCCTCTATTTCCCATTTGCTTACTATCATTGACCAAGAAGTCCTATGATAAACTTACACCTCAGAAAAAATTTCTAGATGCTGACACAAAAGAGAGGATACGAACAGAATGACCAGGAACAAAAACCAGGAGATAAAAATGTAAGAGTTGGAAGGGATTACAGAAATGATATAACCATAGCCTGAGTCTCCACTGTGACACCTGGACAGGTGGCATCCACTCTTTCTTAACACAGAAAATGTGATTTTAGCACAAAACATCAACTTTCTTAGTGTTCAGAAAACTCCAACGGGAAGTTTTTCCATGTATCTTTCCTCCATTGGACTTAGATCTGCCAAATGTTATAACAAAGAATAAACTTAACCTAGTTCATCAATGACTCCCGTTCAAGAACTACAAGATAACTATAACATATTCTTTTCTCCTGGCTTAACAGCTTCAATCCTTAGACCCATTCATCCATCAGGCTACGTTTCCACTATTCACCATCCTGTTCCCCTCCTCTGGCTGCTCTCATTAATACCCTTCTTGATGACAGCCCTGACTAAAATGGTCTAAGTGAGTTTTCTAGCCTAAAAATGGAACAAAACTGGCATGCGTGTATCCTGGACACTGCTTCGTTTATTAATGCAGTCTAAGAACAAATCAGCTCAAGTGGTGAACCCTTCAAACCATTAAGTGAATTCTGACACTTCAAAGAGTTTCTATCAGGAATGGCCATTAATTTATGGAATGTCACCATCTATTAAAATGACTATATACAGTCATCCCTTGGTATCTACAGGGGATTGGTTCCAAGGACTCTCCCACCCCCCACAGATACCAAAACTCATGGATGCTCAAATCCCTTATATAAAATGGTGTAGTACTTGCATATCCCCCATATACTTTAAATCATCTCTAGATTACCTTATAATACTTAATACAATGTAAATGCTATGTAAATAGTTGCTGGCAGCAAAGAGCAAATTTTGCTTTTTGGAACTTAAAAAAAAATTTTCCCCTAGTATTTGTGATGATCCATGGTTACCCGAATCCATGGATATAGAGGGCTGACTTGTTGTCCTATGACAAGATCCATTTTATCAATGTATTTCCTAATAATAAAGCATTCTTAGATAAACCCTACTTGGTGGGAATGGATGCCATTTTAATGTATTATTAAATAATTTACTAAGACTGAATTCAGAATTTTCACTGAAATTCCTAACTTCCTGTTTCATAATGGTTCTTCTCTTTTGGCTGTTAATGCGTAAGTCTAGTTAGGGTATTAAGAGGTATGTCAACTTTGTGGAATGAGCTGGGAAGCTGCAATTTACGGACATTTTAAACCAAAATTTTCATGTGTTGCTGGTTTAGTCAAAAGTTTCTACCTTATACTCACAATGTTAGTTTTTATTTTCTTTTTAACCTCGATGAGGAGACTTACATCTATCTCTACGGTAGCTGACCACAGGTGTGAACTGTCCTGATTCCTCTGCATGTTGAAGTCATTTCAGATTGTCACCCAATGTACGTGCCACTCCTCCAGTTCTGAGTCCTCATCAAGTATTGGTAAAAATGTGCGAAAGGAACATAGAGGGTAGACCCTTATGGCGAGCCACCAGAGACACCCTCTATGATCACAGTAACTCATGAGTTCATATCACTACGCACAACCCTTCAACCTGGCAGGAAACCATCTAACTATAATACTGTGCAACCTATGTTTTTCCAGCATATTCTAAAGAGTTTCATTAGAGAGTAAAATCTGGAAATACCACATCTAAGTATTCATTCCCATGATTCTCCACTTTAGTAAACATTTCAAAATTACATTTTCATTTTTTATTATTTAAATGCTAGAAGTGCCAAACAAATTGTCTGAAAGGAACAATAAATGATCAGCATACCCCCCAAAAATCCCACTTGAAATACTTATTTCATTTTCTGTTCCACTAAAAAAACAAACAAACAAAAAATACCCTTACTGTGATACATAAATCACATCTGGAAATATAAGCATTTTAACAGTGAAGAAGGCAGCACAAAAAGTTTAATTCTCCTGGTTTCAAAAGTAACTATAAAAAAAGAATGTTTCAAAAGTGCACCGAGGATATAACTCCACTTGTATAAAATGTCTAGAAAAGGCAAATTTATAGAGATAAAAAGATCAATGGTTGTCTAGATTTGGGGTGTGCATCAGGATTAACTGCAAATGAACATGAGAGATGTTTACTGGCTGTTCAGAATATTCTACAACTGAATTGTGATGATGACTATACAACCCTATGAATTTACTAAAATCACTGAACTGTACAATTGAATACTTAAGATGGGAGAATTTTATGGTATATAAATTATACCCCAATAAAGCCATTAGAGAAAAGAAGTGCTATGAGAAGCCAAAAGATAAGGCTGGCATACTCAAGTTTGAAACAATATGTTCATGGATGTCAAGAGAACCCGCTACTTTCCTGCAGGTTCCAAAATCTCTAAGAAGCACCTATTGCTAAATACTCAAACCTGTCACTCACTATATGTCAGCAACAGCTTCTGCCAGATGACTCATAAATAAACGCTAGACTGCATTTACTAGCCCATATTTTGCCCTGGAGAGGGTGAGAAGGGAAGGCAATCAATTTTTTACTGAGACAATGACCATGTGGTTGACACTGAGGCTGAGCTCTTTCATTACCTTATTGAAACCTGAATTTAATCTTATGAGGTAGGCATTATTTAACCCCATTGTACAGAACAGGAAAAGGAGGCTCAAACAAGTTAAATATTTCAACCAAGATCACAGAATGAGTAAGCAATGGTGTCAAAATTGGAATCTACACTTGTCAGATTCCCAATTCCACACACTCGGCTTCCCCATGTTGGTCTGTGATGCCAAATTTACTCCTTCCAAATAGATTCAAGAAAATAACAAAAAGTATCAAAATTGAAATAAATATTTAGACATGAGAAGATTTCAACTCTCACTTCCCAAAGATGGGAATATATTCTTCATCAAAATTTGCTTTCCTATAAACAACATGCTCACTTGAAAATATTTCAACTGAACAAAAGGCAAATTAAAAGAGCCCTATATGGTTATGCAACTCTCAAAGAGACATTTACAAACTTAACCCAAGAATAGTTAGTTCCAAGTGTAATAAACAATAGTGAACTATAAATTAACAAACCCTTTGGTTGGGCTGCTTTGTGTTTCTGACATAAAGATGCATTTCCTTTTGGCAGGAGGGTCTTCCTCTTCATCAGAAGAGCTTTCTATTGTTAGGTCAATGACATCCACTTTCTTCTTGCTTGCCTCACTGGCTACAGTCACTGAACAAGGCTTACTGAGGACACCTGCAGCTGCAAGTAGGGAACAGAGGGGCAAAAAAGTCAAAGGTGTAACACGAGCTCTAACCATAAGAGTTTTAACTGTGTAGCACATCCTGGAGAATACACAGCCAATAAAGCCCATACTCTGTCCCACGGACAGAGACCAACTCTCTAACTCCAGTCATCTGTCTATAAAATGACTGCTTACCTAGGGAGACAGGGTGAGCGCTATGCCTTGTGAGAAGATCGAAAGCCTCTTTCAGATGGCACACTCCGCGTTATCTCCCCAGTACTGCGACAGATTTGCACAGATCCTGCACCTCACACTGTCTCCCTAGGTGAGGACTCATGTTATACACAGACATCCGGAGTTAAGGGGCTGGTCTCCGGCCATGGACAAGAGTATGTAGCTTTACGGGCTGTGTATTCTCACAGACATGCGGTAGGGTTAAGTCAGAATCATACTTCCAATCTAGCAAAGCAGTGGTGCTCACATCAAAGAATATATAAGCTCTGCACCATAAGCAAGAACTTGATAAAATTTTCACCTTGATAAGTGGAAAAAACCCCAAACATCTCACTTAAGTTACTCAGACATTTAAAGTTTTTCTTACCAGCTATCTACTTAGGTTCTCCTTTCTGCCCACAACAATAGTCTCACATGATATGTTAACTCACCATTTCAAAGAGTGGTGAGTTGACTCACCATTCTACTACAATCTATTTAGTAGAAAATGCATGCTACTTGATAATGGAAAAGCAGCAGCAACTAATTAACTAAATCACTACTTTTCTCAAGGATGAGGAAGACCCTGATCATTCCACCCACAGGTTCAGTAACAGTCACAAGAGAATGATTAATATTGACATAAATCCTTTACTTTTTCCTCTCTTCTTACTCTGAACGCCTATTATTCATTACATTATTAGAATGTTAAATATAGTCAGCACAAAACTCAAATGCAGTGACTGGACTATGTCAGATAAAAAGAAACTAAGTTCACCTATCAGTTTCAATTTCTCAAACAACCTTTATTTTCCCCACTCAGGGTATAGACAGCACAGGGAGTTGAAGGTTGAGTATAATTCCCAGGTAACCAAGGCAATAGTCAAATTTCTTCCCACAAGGCAATGGAAACAATTAGTTCACTTCTTTACCAACTAACCTATGACCATCTTCCCCCACCCTCCATTAATGGATGATACAGACTCTCTAACCACACCTCCACCTGGGGTTCCTCCAATAGGTGCTCTAAAAATAATTCTGAGGGACCTCCCCGGCAGTCCAGTGGTTAAGACTCCGTGCTCCCAATGTAGGGGACATGGGTTCGATCCCTGGTCAGGGAACTAAGATCCTGCATGCTGCATAGTGTGCAAAATAAATAAATAATTTTTTAAATGAGAAGTTCCAAATAAGTGTCCATAGAAATGTCATTTATAATTTTTCATGTTGTAACAAGCACCATATATTAAAATGATTTTAAAGAACACAAGTAACAAATGTTGGAGAGGATGTGGAAAAAAGGGAACTCTTGTGCACTGTTGATAGGAATGTAAAATGGTGCAGCCACAGTGGAAAACAATATGGCAGTTTCTTAAAACATTAAAAATATAACTACCATATGTGACCCAGCAATTCCACTCCTGGGTATATATGCAAAGAAAACCAAAAACACTAATTCGAGAAGAGACATGCACCCCCAATGTTCATAGCAGCATTATTTACAACTGCCAAGATATAGAAGCAACCTAAGTGTCAACAGACGAATGGATAAAGACAATGTGGTATATATATGTATTAATATATACAATGGAATACTACTCAGCCATAAAAAAGAACAAAATTTTGCCAGTTGCAGGAACATGAATGGACTTGGAGAGCATTATGCTAAGTGAAATAAGTCAGACAGAGAAAGACAAATACTATATGATATGACTTGCATGTGGAATCTTAAAAATATAACAAACTAATGAATATAACAAAAAAGAAGCAGACTCACAGATACAGAGAACAAACTAGTGGTGACAAGTGGGGAGAGAGAAGGGGCGGGCATTATTACAGGGGTGGCGAAGCAGGAGATACAAACTATTAGCTACAGGATGTGTTGTACAACACGGGAAATATAGCCAATATTTTACAATAACTATAAATGGAGTATAACCTTTAAAAACTGTGAGTCACTACATTGTACACCTATAACTTCCATAATATTGTAGAGCAACTATACTTCAATAAAAAATATTAAAATGATTTAGGTGATTGTTTTATTTACTTTATATATGAAAAATATACTATGAAAAAACTGATTATAATGTGGTATAAACTTTAGCACACTTAAGAATAAAAATCATTTGGGAGAAATTACATATGTAATAGACGATCAAAAGATAAAGTGAGCAAACTGAGCTCCAAATGGTAGCTCTAATGGCCAAAGTTAACGCTAACGATAACATCACACAAGTCTCATCGTTTTGCTCTCTGCTGCCATTCTGCACATACTTTCTATTTTTGTACATGGTTGGCTGGATACTTTCATAGCTTCTTTCTTCGGTCTCATTGGGCACCAAGAACCATCTTCTTGGAATTTGATCTCATCCACATCAGAACAGTCATTGAGAATTTCCATAAAAAGCCTATAAACCAAGTAAGAAGTACAGAAATGGAATCAAATGGCTCTGTTCAAAGGTGAAATAAAGTAACACATTTTACCTTGGAGACAAAAGTAATGCTTTTTGTTTGTTTTGGCCCTAGGCTTTAGCTGTTTAACCGGCAACAAAAGAGTTAAGTGACTTACTGAATATCATCTTAAAAATCAGTGATTAAACAGAAATAGACACCTGGAGGCTTCTTGCTGGGATTGGCAGTAAAGAAACCACCCTCAGGGACTTCCCCGGTGGTCCAGTGCTGGTAAGTCCGCCTTCCAGTACAGGGGACACGGGTTCCATCCCTGGTTGGGGAGCTAAGAGCCACATGCTGCGGGCAACTAGGCCTGTGCACCACAACTACTGAGATTGCACACCTCAACAAGAGAGCCCACGTGCCACCAACTACAGAGTCCATGTACCCTGGAGCCCACACACCACAACTAGAGACAGATGTGCACTCCACAACTAGAGAGAAGCCCATGCACCGTAAAAAAAAAATAAAAAATAAAAAAAGATCCCACATGCCACAAAAAAGACCCAACGCAGCCAAAAAAAAAAAAACACCAACCCTCAACATAACACATAAACCAAACATAACAATTATTCGGTTCACGGCTTCCGGGAAGATAGTGGAAGAGTAAGACGTGGAGATCACCTTCCTCCCC